AAAAAAAAAAAAAAAAAGTGCATGTGAGCTGACCCAGAATCCTGGGTTCAAAGCCAGGCCCTTTCACTTACAAGCAGTGGGAATGGGGACTTTCCCAAGTCTGGAGTCCTGGGGAGAGGTTGGGGCTGGAGTAGACATTTACTAATGGGTAGTCGTAGTCCTGGGAGTATCTTGTGCAAACCACTAGGCCTAGCTGTACCCTTTGACTGGGAGTGTGGGGACAGGACCTCAACACTTCCTGGGTCCTCTTCTCCAGCTCCACCCTCAGAGACTGTTGTCTGTTGTACCCAAAAGCCCCCTAGACCTGCCAGACCCACGCTTGCCGGGCAGGCAACAGTCCCAGGGAACCCATCAGTGCTGGTCCGTGGTCATCGGGAGCAGGCCCAGGTTAGGCTGAGCAGTGAAGGATGGGCCCAGAAAGAGGACGCTCACCCCTCAGATGTCCTTATGACGTCACAGCCTCGAATTCCTTCTTCCCATCCTCCTTCCCAGTAGACCCTGCCCAACTTTCCCATCACATCAGGGTGCCCCTGGCTTTTGATGCTGGAAACAAATACTTGGGCTGCTGGTCTGCACCTGCCCGTCCCTCTCCTGATGCCCAGTCCCCCGGCCACTGCCACCTCCCTGGCCTGACACAGCTCTGCCAGCAGGCCCAGGTTCCCTCAGAAGCAGCCAATTTCCATCAACAAACACTTGGAGAGGGCTCCACGTGGAGGGCACTGAGACAGGCTTGGTGGAGGGACAAAAACATTTGAAGGCCAGTCTTCACCCTCAAGTTGCTCACCCTTTTACGAAGAGGCCTCCTGGTTTGTAAATTGACTCAACTCTCCAATTAAAAGGCAGAGATTGTCAGAAAGGACTAAAAAATGATTCAACTATATGCTCTCTACAAGAAACTCACTTTAGAGTCAAAAATACAAATAGGTTGAAAGTGAAAGGATAGAAGAAGATATTCCACGCAAACAGTAACCGAAAGACAGTTGGGGTGGACATACTGATATCAGACAAAATAGACAAAATGTCAAAAATCATTTAAGAGACCAAGAAAGATGTTATATATTCATAAAAGGGTAAATCCCTCAAGAAGATATCATAGTTATAAACATGTACACACCTAACAACAAAGTCCTTAAAAAATCTGAAGCAAGAATGGACAAAATTGAAGGAGAAATAGACACTTCTATAATAATAGTTGGAGATTTCAATATCCCACTTTCAATAAAAGATAGAAGAACTAGACAGAAGATCAATAGAAAAGAGGACATGGGGTTGGCCCTGTGAAGTAGTGGTTTTCAGCACTCTCCGCTTTGGCAGCCCGGGTTTGCTGGTTCAGATCCCAGGTGCAGGCCTATACCACTCATCAGCCATCCTGTGGCAGCAACCCACATACAAAATAGATGAAGACTGGCACAGATGTTAGCTCAGGGCTAACCTTTCTCAAGCAAAAAAAAAAAAAGGACTTGAACATTCTAGAAACGAACTAGGCCAAATGGACATACACAGACCATTCCACCTAAAAACAGCAGAGTATACCTTCTTCTCAAGCGCACATGGAACATTCTCCAGGATAGATCATATATTAGGCCATGAAACAAAGCTGCAATACATTTTAAAAGATTGAAATGATACAAAGTATATTTTCCAATCACAATGGAATAAAACTAGAAATCAATAACAGAAGAAAAACTGGAAACTTCACAAATATGTGGAAATTAACACACTCTTAAACAACTAACAGGTTAAAAAGGAAATCAAAAGAGGAATTAGAAAATACTTTGAGACAAATGAAAATGACAACACAACATAATAAAATTTATAGGATACAGCGAGAAGCACTGAGAGGAAATTTGTAGCCATAAATGCCTACATTAAAAAGGAAGAAGGATCTCAAATCGATAACCTACCTTTATTCCTTAAAGAAACTAGAAAAAGAAGAGCAGATTAAACCCAAAGCTAGCAGAAGGAAGGAGATGATAAAGATTAGAGATAAACAAAATGGAGGAAAGAAAAACAATAGAGAAAATCAACAAAACCAAAAGTTGGTTCTGTCACTGACTAGGTGCCTCAAGACACTCAAAGGTGGGTTTAGAAGCAATTAACTGTTTTTCCAAGTTGTTTCTTTTCCTTTTTTGTGTTAAAGACATGTAACCACCAACCATCCTGAAACTGACCAAGCCTCACCACAAGAGCTACGCCCATGACCTTTGCCTTATTTTTAATGCAAAGATCTCTCCAGGAGGAGCTTAGGCCTCATTATGGGGAAGCATGTTCTCCAACTGAGCCTGTGCAAGCGAATAGCCCCACCTCTCCCTTTTTTTTTATTTTATTTTTTG